CACAAGAGATCTCACTTAATTAGCTTCTTCAAGTAATTGTTGGGATGGAGCGACAATGAAAACATTTGAGTGCTGTGCCTTTCTAAGTCGATTGGTCACTGTCTCGATTGCAAGAAGCCGCGCATACCGTGCCAGGGTTCCGCTCGATTGCGTTTGTGTCATTGAAACGTTACTTGTGATGTCTAATATTGCCGTGCGATACACTGTGCACAGTTCCGGATATCCAGACCTGCAGTGCGTTCATCATAAGTGACCGTCTTGTAGTTGGTGACACCTTTGTGATGTCGTTTAAATATAAAATGATGCAATTTTTCTCAGAGTAACAACATTAATCATAGGATGTTTTTAAATGCGTTAACGCTTTAAATATATAATAGCGCCTTTCAGTGTAAGTAGTCTTAAAATACGTTTTTAATGCTTACTAACTGAGGTTAAAAGTGTTTATACATGAACCCTGTATCTCCGTCCATCCCTCCATCTGTCCGTCGACAGCAGGGGATGGTGTGGGGTAGTGGGGAGGGAGGCACAATATCTCTCGTAAACATTAGATATCCTGTATGGTAAAGTTGTGTTGCTATGCCTGACGTACCCAGCTGAAAACTAGTCGTATATTTACTCGTATGGAAAATCACTTTGCCCAAAAAGCAACCTGCAAGTCTAAATTAACAACTTCCGAAGACAACACACACGGTAGAAAGCATCATATAATCCAGCGGTCGGGAACCTATGGCTCGCGAGCCATATATGGCTCTTCCGGTGACGGCATATGGCTCCCAGACAATTTTGAGTTGAAAAAAATAAAAATTAAAAAATTAAAATAAAATCAGTTTGGAACTGATTTTAAAATACTTGTGATATTGCTTAATAATACTGTGTCATTTTAAAGTAAACAAAAATTAGTTTTGAAGATAAATTTCACGGGTCACGGGTCCCGTGACCTGAAGTCGCATTAAAAGTAAGACGTATTTAGTTTATTATACGTTAAAAATACTATATGGCTCTCAATGAAAGATATTTAGAAATATTTGGCTTTTATGGCTCTCCCAGTCAAAAAGGTTCCCGACCCCTGATATAATCGATGCATACCAAAAACATTTTTACCTCACTTTTTATTTACTTCGGGTCTTTCGGTAAAGTCACGGAGATAGGTTCAAAGAAAAATAATCGATCGCAACACAAGCGGTCGTCATCAAGAATAGGGGCAATAGCGTCACTCCGAATAAAACTCATCTACATATATAAAAGGGAAATTTGTGATTATGTGTGTCTGTTCTAAATGTTTAGCAGACTTCCCGACATGCAACAAACTTGAAATTTGGCATGTGGGTACTTTCCAGACTGTACACCATGCAAACATTATAAAAAATAGACTTTTATATTTGGGGGGGGGGGCGCAATAATGCATTTATTTTTCACGAAAAGTGAGCTGTGACGTCACCCGCATGCGGAAGCATAACGCAGTATTGCCTGCTGATGTCACGCATCCCCCCCCAACTCTCCGCGAGTAAAGTGCCATACAAATGTGTTGCAGGTCTAAGGTGTTCTTCGCGCAGCATTGCTTTATTATTTGAGTCGTTTACTGCCGTACGCACACTGAAAGTTGTTTGTCTGCTGCAAGCGCGTGTATGTGTACCTATGGACGCACGTGCGTGTGGGGGGAGCGGTAAGTGTAGTGGTTAGCGTGCTGCACTACGAACCCGGCGACCCGAGTTCGATTCCCGCTCACGGCCACCACAAGTGACAGATTATTTGAACCGGTCCTGGGCCTCCCCTAGGTCGACTCAGCTTCAAACGAGTAACTCGTGTGGTGTGTGAACATCGCCACTGGGGGGACAAAGGCGGCCGGGCGTGGTGAATCCAAGTCCCGGGCGAAGCCGGGTAGTAAAGCTCGATAATTCATAATTGGCAGTGTGGCACGAGATGTGGCAAGCCAGCCTAGTCCTAGCCATGTTACACGCATTGGACACAATGCCCGCTGTTCACTCCTCCAGATTAAGACATCGCCGATCCTGCGGCACTGCTCGCATAAGTAGACCACTGCGCGCCATGGCACTCCACGTGAATTAATTAGTGAAATGTTCCGGTGCTGTGGCTCTTGTGGTGCTCGGGGTAGGCACATTGGACTTCTTTTCTAAAGTAGATGGATTTGATTCCTACTAAATATGGATGAGCTCATACTATCACTAGAGCAGCCAGCACTATGGCCCAGGACTATCACAAGACCAGCTATTCCGTCTATATGCCCAATGTAACAATTAAACAATTACAGTAAAAAACTTGATTTGAAGCTTTCGTGACTGCAGGAATCACTCTTTGGTTCTTTCGGTAAAGTCACGTAGAAAATAAATAAATTAAATAATAGTGTATGACGTTTCGATTAAAACACAAGCAACCGTCATCAGTTAGAACTAAATTTGAGAGAGAGACAAAACACAGACACGTGTTGTGTGCCTGTCTGTGTTGTCTCTCTCTGCTTGTGTGTCTGTCTGTGTGTCTCCGTGTCTGTGTTTTGTCTCTCTCTCAATTTTAGTTCTACCCTGATGATGACTGCTTGTGTTGCAATTCTATTATTTAATTGATTTTCTTTCTACGCGACTTTACCGAAAGAACAAAGAGTAATTACAGTAAAACCAATACATAAGGCAGCAGTTACACTAGAACCACCCAGCCACCCCATCTAGGTGTGACGATAATCCTGACCACTTAGACTAACACTGGTGCTTCATACAGAGCATCACAACACAATATACTGCCGCCTTCTTCAGAAAATAATAAATATACACTCATGCCCGTTATTCACCCAAGACTGATTTTCAGGAGCGGTCCTGCAATTGGGATGTCCGGCTAATTCTATTAATTAATTCTATGGTCCAGAGTAAGAGAGTAAAGTATTAAGCCAGTTTTAACACCTAAAGAACAGCAAAGATGAATTTAGCATGCATTGCTAGCACGGAAACCAAAAACAACACAAAGCCACCGCTTTGAAGCTGGCGCTGTGAGGAGATGGAAGGGTTTCAACGTTACGTCATGTGGCTGCAGGGGTGGCAAACGGCTGCATGCTTCTGTGCAGTCTGCTCCTTGAGGACACGGGGTATATTTTTAGCCACACGAAATACGTCTTTGCATTCATTACTGCCAGAACGTTGAAGTGTTGTATTTTTTTCTGTTAAGTATTGCTTTGGAGATTTTATATAATCCGCATTTAATTCACATGAAAGTCTCTTGTCTTTTGAATCCCACGTGATTTGTTTTACATTCCTCATCCAATTTTGAAAGATGTATTATCATTATATATTTCTTGTTTCGCTTGGAGCCAGCTGTGCCGAGACCCTATATTGACATCCCATGTTGGCAGAAACAAAAATAAAATTGTCATCACCCTCTCAAGTGACTGCAAGCCTTGGGACAGGAGGCTGGGAGAGCCTGGAGGTCATTGTGCTCACTCCTGAGCCAGTTTTACATGGAGTTGACAGTTTGATTGCTGATGCTACCCAATAATTTGAGTAGCAGGACATTTATCAAAATGTGCTGTCTGTCATGAAGTGGATAACACAGACTCTGGGATGGCATCCTTGACATGTGTAGGCTATTGTCTTCTTGGTTTCTAATTTCACATCTTAAATCACACATTAATAAAACCTCCACAAAACCCAGGTCACAATTAAATAGTGGCGAGATGTTAATGACCTTGCTTGATAGACAGGAGGTCGTTGGTCCGATTACGACCCTGATGCACATATGTGGAGTTTGCATGTTTGCATGTTCTACTCGTGGATCTATAGATGTTTCTCTGGGTCTTCTAGTTTTACCCTCCACATGTAGAAACACGCGTGTTAGAGTATTTGGCTGCTATACATTTACACATGTCAAGCCACTTCGTTGAGCTATCATTTGTGATAGCCAGGTAGCTTCTCAAAACGAGCTATATAGCTCAGTGGGCCTTGCCTGGTAAAATAAAAAATTGTTTAGTTTAGATACAAATTTCACAAGGTGTGGATGGCTAGGTTCCTAGGATCGCAGACTGCTAGACTAACCAATAAATGACACCCAAATAGACCTTAAACAATGGGGAAATACTCCTACTTTGTAATAAATATTGGGGGCATTTTTTGTAAATAAAGGAAACAGGTCAAAAAGTTTTACATTTTCTGTATGGGGAAAATAATGCACAAGGCATTCAATCTGCAAAGTGGTCCTTTTTACGAGAACGAATGTTCCAAGGAAGTGTGGCTCATCTCTGGGTGACCTTTCTGAGCAGTGTTCTCTTACAGTGACAGGAGGCGTGACTCAATTGTACATGCACCAGCGCTCGCTGCCTGTCCTCCAATTACCATACTGATACCCTTCAAAGAGAGACAAGTACGATGGGAGTGTAATTTATTATTTCTTCATTACGTGCCAATGCATGCAAAAAGGGTATGTTGCTGGGAATAATGCAAGTGCTGGATCTTCAGAACAAATGGGCCAATATGTATGTACGTTTTTTTATTACTACATGCATTCGTGGTGCAAAGTTTAGTGTCATACAATAAATCCCTTGGCTGGAACATTCAAAGTCAAGGTTCTCCCCGTGGTCGCATGAATTTTTCTTCGGGTCCTCCGGTTTTTCCCTCCACATTTAGGATCAACATGCGTTTAGAACAGTGTTCTTCACTCATTTTCAGAGGGGGGTGACTTTCGCTGAAATGACATCATCAGTGTGAGGGCCGCCACACTGCAAGGGGTTGTTTTCACTATTTGTGTCTTGTCGGGGGCCGCACGTCAGAGGCCGCACTAAAAGCCACCAGGGCCGCCAGTGGCCCGCGGGCCTTACAATGAAGAACACTGGTTTAGAGTATTTGGCTGCTATACATTTTCACGTGACAATCTACTTCGTTGAGGTGACCAGGCCACTTCTGACAAAGAGCTACATAGCTCAGTGAGCCTTACTCGGTAAAAAAAAAATGCCAAAGCGAAGATGAAGACTGTGGCTGGGCGAGTGGATGTCCGGGGCGCAGTACCTGCGGACGTCTGCTTGAACTTCTCGCTTTTGCGTTTGCGCCACTTCCAGGGCTTGAAGATTCGACCGAGGGTGGCGAACTTGCTGCGTCGGCGGATCGGCGGCGTGTGCGCGCCGGGGACCAGGGACTCGGAGCGCATGGCGGCGAGCCGAGCCACCTCCTCCGCTGCAAAAAGACAAAGAAAAAGATCCCCCGTATAGATTTACAGACTGTTGGGGGCGAGTGCTGTTAGCAAGCGCTTATGAAGGCTGGCACCACACACGAGGGGGTGGTTGGACAACACCACGCCCGACAGCCTTGTCTCCCCAGCGGTGATCTTTACGTACCACACGAGGTACTCATTTGAAGCTGAGTCGACCTAGGGGAGGCCCATGACCGGTTCAGATAATCGTCACTGGTATTGATCGTGAGCGGGAATCGAACTCTGGTCACCGGGTTCGTAGTGCAGCAACACTAACCGCAACTACACTACCGCTCCTCAGCACCTCCGCTGCACAGCACACACAGGCACACAACATCATCAGCTAACAGCCAACCCCAGCAGCTACAAATGATGACCTCATTTCCACTGGCGCTTCCAAGCCAAGCCAGCGTAGGGCCCTCACAGACTAAGCCAAGCCAGAATCAAACCATGACATCCGATTCTGGGCTTGAGGCCAAGCAGGGCCAGGGTTAATGACACCGAGCTCACAGTGCTTGCGACGTCACACAGTACACGCCGCATCATCTGCATGCGTCTCAACTCATCAATTGCATGCGATGGATGTCAGCGAGGCTGCCGACATCACGCGCGAAGTGCGTCACTGCTCTCAAGCTGTGCCTGGCCGACTCGGCACCGCCTCGGCTGTGCAATAGAAAAGAGAAATGTTAAGACGATATCATGACCATATTTTTCTTTAATGGTTAATAAAACCACACGGTGCCTTCGTGGCAGCCTTCCAAATGCACTCATTGTAATAATTATTATAATAACTATAATTGTTATAATAATTGTTATTATTAGAGCCAAATTCTGATGAAAATATCCCTATATAGCTTTCTATAGCAAGCATCTATTAAGCCCAAAATGACTTACATTAAGAGTCGTGGAGCCATGACAACGGCGAGATGTATTTGTCTCCCCAGTAATGATGTTGATCGCACCACAACAGGTACAGATTGAAGACCGAGCTGACACTCTAGGTGAGGAACATGCCAGATTAAAAAAAAAATTCTCAATGGTAATGTACACTGCACTGGGATGCAGGCACAGTGCATGAAAGGCAAGGTCACTGCTATAACACGCACAGGTACGCATACTGCATATTACAAATTACGGTGTGAAAAATGCATCTGAAAGCACCATAGTCGCATAAAATACAATGCTGCTTAGGCTAAAAAATAAGCAAACATGTTCTATAAATGGAGGAGTCTAATGAACACCCACGCCCCCAGAGTAAATGGCACATGCCAACGCACACATTAAGTAAATCTGTTTCCAGGGTTGAAATTCTGGTTGCCGTGGAAACCGTTACTAACCAAAAAACGCGGTCCATGTTGCTCACGTCTGTCTAGCGGGGTGGCGGCGAGGAAACAAAGGAACACGGGCGTTGGTTGGCGCACGCATTGTCTGCTGCAAGACGGCACGGCAGAAGCTTTCAATGTGCCACGTCGTGACGGAGACACGGCAATCAATTCGTCTCCTGTGTTTACCATTGGTTTGAGAATACAGCCGGGATACGAGTCAGTCCCCTTAATTTAACCGGAGGGAGGAACTCACCAAAGCGCAACGTTTCAAACTGCAAGCGAAACAAGAGATTTAAAATTAGCATCAGTTACTTGATGAATGGCCATTGCTTAATCACTTGCTTTGCAAGGGAGAGACCTGGATTCAATCCAGGGTTTTTTTTATTGTTGTTGTATAAATTAATAAAGGCGAGACACCACTGAGATTCATTATTCCATGTTATGTTTTTACAAAAGAAAACTCGTTTCTTTTCTGCATCATTGTGGCCCTCGCCAATAACATTCGATGAATTGAATACAATATGTACAATCCTTCTCAGAGATTCTGGTCTGCCCGGAAAGGGCCCTGATCATCCTCTGATATGTAAGGAACTCCACACGATCATATGGATCGACTCCAGTTGTTACTTGGGGATGTTTGGTACCCAGCCATGGTCCAACAAGAACCTTGGCTGTCCTTGTCGACTGCCCTGCTCAGACCGATTTCTGACCGAGGTCGGATGACAATGTCGTCCACACACCGAAATATAATTCTACACTTTCACCCTGCAATGCCACAAGTCGGACTACAAGCATCTTGGTCATGACCCTCAGTGCCACAGGTCCAAATGGAAGCACTCGGAATTCTGTGAGGAGCCAAACACTTCTTACCCTCAGGAATCTCCATCATGGATAAAATATCGAGATGTAATACGCTAACCGACACATTGTGGCACTGTACGTTGCAGTAGGAGATAGGATCATATCCGTGCCACTGGTGCCCGTGGCTCCCGCACCAGTTCATCGGCCTGAACAGCCCCAAACCTTCCATGATCTCGTCCCATCGAGCCGCTCTCCTCGCTGCCCGTGGAATACAATTGCTGGTTCGGTTGATAAAAACACTATCTCCATTCTTCCTTCTTACCTTTCCTTTCTTTCCCGCCCCCCCCCCCACATTGATCTAACTGAGACTTATTGGACGCCTATGGATTCTCTGTCACAAAGAAATACAAGTGGGACGAGTGTCAACCAGAGATGACACGGAGGACGATGGCAACACACACAGAGGGGTTGGCTGGTTCATCTCCACCTGTCGATGCTGGAGGTCTGCGCAAGTTGGCCCTCAACCAGATAATTTCAAGTCATGGACACACACACGTATTACGCGATGTCGTATTGTACACTTACACGTGTTTTCCGCCTCACACTGTTATTTAGAAAATAATTAAATGTTCAATTGTGCAATCTGGCTGGTGATAAGTCTGCAGAGGCATAAGTGGTGGTGACATAGTGTAATAAAGGACTCTCTCTCAGATGTCGATCTCCGTTGTCCTTTATTGGGTTCGTAGAATCTCGTTACCACGGCGTCCTCGCTCAGGCCCGCGTCCCTCTCGACGATCTCTCCACAGCCGCTCGGCTGCTCCGATAGGCAGTCTCCCTGCTGCTCCGATAGGCAGTCTCCCTGCTGCTCCGATAGGCAGCCTCCCTGCTTCTCCGATATGCAGTCTCCCTGCTGCTCCACCTTGCAGCCACACCGCTGCTCCGCTCCCTAGCTTCACTGCTGCCCTGTACACAGCTAGCCTCCCACAGCCGCTAGCTCTCTGCGTCTGACACCGATGGGTGACGGTGTCGACGTCTCCCTCCGCGTGGCGACCGCGCCACTCTCTCCGTCCTGCCCAGCGTGGCCTCCTCCTGTTTCACTCCGTCTCAACTCCTCTTTCCCCTTCCGGTTCTCCCCCTAAATCCTCTCTCCCACGTGACCCTAACTCCACCCACTCCCCACGTGACCCAGACTCCGCCCCCCCACAATCCTTGCTCACATTACAATAGGAGAAGAAAAGGTGGTTACAGCAACAGGTGCAGATAGTTACAATAAAGCACACGTGACCGGAGGTACCGACTGGGGGGGCCCCCAAAGAGGCGGCTGGGGGACCACAGGTGCACGAGTGCGCCTTTTGTTTGCATTATGACTGAATGTATTGTGGTATATGCAAATATGACTCCGTGTAAAAAAGGTGTCAGTTTTGTTGCCAGATGGAAGGGTAAAAAAACAATTATCATGAACAGAACTACATCGCGTGACTTGTACGGCTGCCTCGGCGTAGCATCACACATGGCGGGATGCTGCTGGATGCTTCTAGATGCTAAACATGTGCCTCAGTCATTGTTCAGCATACACATATCACGTGTTATCGCAGGCTATGCTTTACCCGATATGATATACGAGCTTTACTACCCGGCTTCGCCCGGGACTTGGATTCACCACTGCCCGGCCGCCTTTGTCTCCCTAGTGGCGATGTTCACACACCACACCAATTACTCGTTTGAGGCTGAGTCGACCTAGGGGAGGCCCAGGACCGGTTCAAATAATCGTCACCGGTGGTGGCCGTGAGCGGGAATCGAACTCGGGTCACCGGGTTCGTAGCGCAGCGCGCTAACCACTACACTACAAGGCGTTACGCTTCCACACGCGCGGGTCACGTGACAGATGTGACGTCACAGTTCACTTGCCGTGCAAAAAAATCAATGCATTATTGAGCTCCCCCCCCCCCACCAAAAAAAACTAAAGTGTATTTTAATAATTTTTGCATGGTGTACAGTCTGGAAAGTACCCACATGGCAAATTTCAAGTTTGTTGCATGTCGGGAAGTACGCTAAACATTTTGAACAGACACATAATCACAACTTTGCCTTTTATATATATGGAGATTATTCATTATAAACGCGACTTTTCCATAACGCGGTATTCTTCAGGAAGGTAACAACCGCATTGTAAGGGAACAGACTGTAATTATACACAGGGTGCACAGGGTGCAGCGTGTGTATGTAAGATCCTCAATTACTTGCACTTCGGTGAGTGTGAACTCAAGTGAACCACATATTTGATTTGTTTCTAGCACCCCAGCGAAGACATTTTCATGCCATGCTTTTAAAAATATATTTATTTTGCTTCACTACATAGGCAGGTCTGACTCCTTACTAATGAGCGGTACCATTAATGTTGGCTATCAATGTAAGTGAGGAATTGGAAGTTCATACTTGTTGGAGAACAGCAGAAAGAATTAGCAGTAATGTTTGATGTCCGCGCATCAACGGAACATAACATCTCATACTCATGTTGACATTGTAAGCCTGTCATTGAAGGTTACGCTTCCCCTCCTGAAATGTAGACATCCTGTTATTTTTTTTTTTACAAAACGCTATGTCCTCCATCATATTACCGTGTCTTGGTTTGGCTCTCTGCGCCTTTCGCACAGCCAACGAAATTATAAGAATCGAAAATAATCCAAAATAAGCTCGAATTTCTTTCTTGCATTTGTATTGGTGAGTTTCAATTTTTGTTCACATGCACGCATCACTTTCTCAAAGGATGTGACTTTTTCTCAACAGAAAACGTTACACACCACAGTACACATGTGAGTGCACATAATAGATGCAGGTGAGCAGAGGTGAAGTGCCCG